CTGAGGGACCAGTGGTGGAGAAATATGAAAAGAAATTAGCGTCGTGGAAAAAATGCTACCTATCAAAAGGGGGTAGACTGGTTCTCCTAAAGGCCTCTCTAGCCAACTTACCAATTTACTATCTTTCCGTCTTCAAAATTCCTCCTAAAGTGAGAAATTACTTAGAGAAAATCCAAAGGAATTTCCTTTGGGATGGAGGGGAGAACAGAAACCACTTGGTGAGTTGGGACCAAGTGTGTAAGTTGAAGGAGGAGGGAGGATTGGGAGTTGGGCATTTGAAATGCCCTGTCATCTCTAGCAAATATGGAACAAATGTAAATAGGTCGGACAGTAATCTTCAATTGAACCAGGTAAAGAATTAGTTGAAAAACAGTCCTAGAAGTATGGGACTGTGCAAGAAAACCAGAAAAACTAACAAGAGAAGATTAGAGAAGGAGAGAGAGAGAGAGAGAGAGAGCTGCGGCAAGGAGAGTTAGAGGATGAGGAGTTCGAACTAATCCTCCCTCTAACACTCTAATACTCTTTTATTAAGTTAATCTTTGAGTAATTACAAGAGAGGTCCTTAGTTGGACAAGAAATTACAAAAAWGGAACATAGAAGAGTATGGGCCCAGAATAAGACCCATTACAGAGAAGAACATAAAGATAATATAAAGTAACAGCCTATGGGCCATTCGGCCCATCTTCTCTACAGAATTCAAACCCTTGGAAAGGTATAGCTTCTTCTCACCCTTCTTTCCTTCCTTTCATTAGACTCAAAGTGGGAAATGGAAATAAAATAAAATTCTGCAAAGATCTCTGGTGGGGGGATACCACTCTAGCAGAATCTTTCCCTAGAATCTTCAATCTCTCCACAGACCAAGATTCAACTATTTCCTCTTGTATCCCAGCCTTACCTGCTAATATTAACTTGACCCTGAGCCTGAGAAGACCTTTAAAGGAGATTGAGATCTCAGACCTCATAAACCTCTTCCTCACCTTAAAAGAAGTCTACACCTCCCCTCATTCCATTGATACCCGAATTTGGACCCTTAACCCAAATGGTGTGTTCTCTTCCAAATCTACGTTTAGGGCTCTAATTGCAGGTGATCAGATCTTCTCTTTCCCTTTTGAGAAGGTATGGAGCAGTCACATTCCTCTAAGAGTTTGCTTCTTTGTTTGGGAAGCGTGTCTACAGAGAATAAACACATGTGATCTTCTTTAGAAGAAAAGCCGAGGAAGGCCTGATATTTCTCCTCATGCATGTGTGCTTTGCCTAAGAGAAGGGGAATCAGCAGATCATCTTCTCATTCACTGCAGCTTTTCTCAAAAGATTTGGTGGCATTTCTTAAACCTGATTGGTTATAGTTGGGTCTCTCCTAAGCACATTCAGGAGTTCCTCAACCAATGGCATGAGTCAGGCTTGAGCAGCAGAGGCAAGTGTATTGGCAAACTGTGGTTCATGCAGTTTTGTGGGGAATTTGGGAGGAAAGAAATAGGCGCATATTTGAAAACAAAACCAGATCTCTACAAGAATTAATTTCAGATATCTTCTTCTGTTGTAATTCTTGGGCTTCTAACACTGAGATGTTTCAGGACCTCTCTCTTAATGATCTTAACAGAAACATCCAAACGATCTTGTTTCTGCCAACTCACTCTCAACCAACCAAAAGATTACAGATACCACATATTGAAGTAGGGATGATTCTAAACTTCGATGGAAGTGCTGCAGGCAATCCGGGTAAAGCTGGGATAGGTGGTATTTTGAGGGATGAACAGGGATTGATCTGTTGGGCTTTCAGTGGCCCAATAGGTGTCACAGACTCAACAAAGGCTGAAGTGATGGCAGCACTCACAGTATCAGAATAATAAAAAGTTTAGGCATTCAGAAATTATCCATAGTTGGAGATTCAACTAATACCATCAAGTGGCTGAAAGACAAGGAGGGGGGTCCGTGGAGGTTGAGTCATTATCTGTCAGAGGCAAGAGACTCCTTGGAAAATTTGAATGTTAATCTGATGTGGATACCGAGGGAGATGAATCATATTGCAGATGGATTAGCTAAATTTGGAGCAAATTTAGAAAATTTATACAGCAACAGGTTTCCCCCCTTGTAATTTTGTGTTTCTGCTGTTTAAGTTCTCTTTCCTTTTTTAGTACATCTGCTCATGTACTCCTTGTCTCTTTTAATGAAATCTGATTATCTTTTTTCTCAAAAAAACACCCCAAATTTGGGGTAACACTTGCCAACACTGTTTACAAGCTCCCCCGCTGGGAGTCAAACCCCAAGACAGATTATTTCTGATTGTTCCTTGTATTGCTAAGGCATCCACCATGCTGTTAGCTGATCTCAATGTTCTTTTATCTCCTTCATAGTGTGCCTATATTCCCATGATCCGACATTATTGTTTAGAGCCAGCACACAATCACGAGTACCCTTCCACTACTAAGTTCCTATAATTGAGGGATTTAGTCAACCTTGCTGGATCAACTAGGACAAGTTCACTTGGACCTGTCCTTGGAAGATTCTAGAATTTGGGTAGGCTCTTCAGATGGTCTCTTTACTTGCTCTTTTTTTTCAGTGTTCTCATTTCGCCCAGCATCCCAATTGGGGATTTCCCTATAAAGAAATATGGAGTAAGCCTATCCCACCAAAAATTCAAGCTTTCTTTTGGGAAATTTTCCTTGACAAGGTAAATACTTGTGATATGCTACAGAGAAGAAGGCCTTTTGCTTCCCTTTCTCCTCACATGTGCTCCCTTTGTAAGGAAAGTGATGAGACCCTTTCACATTTATTAATATCTTGTTCTCTTGCGCATCACATTTGGGAGTTCTTTTGTGCTCTCTTTGGTTGAAGGTGGGTTCCCCCTCAAGATGCAGCAGGCCTTTTCAACTGTGATTTCTTGAGCCAACCAAAGAAAAGAGGGATGGTAATGTGGAGAGCTACAAAGGCAGCAATTTTATGGGTGGTATTGAAGAAAGGAACAACAGAATTTTCTTGGAAAAAAGTAGAACAGTGGAGGAAATGATAGATACTATAAAGGTTAAAGTAGCTCATTGAGTAAAATCCTTGCATAGCTTTCAAGATTTCTCAGTCACAAACATTCTAAGAACCTGGACAGAATTAGCAGTCTTCAAGAGTGAAAGAGAAAATAAGGATGGAGTGGAAATTTCTAGAAGGCAACAGGATTAAACTGAATTTTGATGGGAGCTCCCTTGGAAATCCAGGACTATCAGGTATAGGAGCAATCAGAAATTCTGAAAGGAGGATATTGGCTTTGTTCTCGGGACCGATTGGCACTGCAATTCACTAAAAGCTGAGTTATTGGCACTGCTACAAGGGCTGAAGCTTAGCTAAGCAGCTAGGACTTAGGCATATTGAGGTGGAGGGGGACTCAAGAGTGGTCATCTCTTGGACTACAAACAATAGACTTACTCCGTGGACCTTCAARCATGCGATTAGGGAAGTGGAAAAGATTGCAAATGAGGTAGAAGTTGATTTCAGATGGGTCAGAAGGAGTGCAAATGGGCTATAGCTGATTCTCTTGCCAAACAAGGGCATTGAGGCAACAATTGTTTTGGGCTGCGCTATAATGTGGGACAGAAATATGTACTAAATTGGGAACAACATTCCCTTCTACATGTTGTAAAACTTTGTCTTAAACCTATTTTAAATAAAATTCTCTTTTACTGATTAAAAAAAAGGGATTTAGTCAACCTTAGTCCTTGTAAAGCTGTCTATAGTTCTCCTCATGTGGAGCCACCATGTCCAGTTCCTATAATTGCCTTTTAAAATGAGTCCTGTTTTGCCTTTCTGTTTGGCTACATGAATCCTGTTGTATTAAAATGTCCATATACTTTTAATATTTCCATGGCAAATTTCCATTTCCATGTGTACCTAACATGAAATTTTACTGGAACCAACACATTCCCTAGTGAAAGCTACTATCATTATGTGGAATAGAAGGAATATGTGAAGAAAACCTTGCTGAGGATGTACTTGCCACAACCTGCCAGCTTCTAATGATATCTTTGGTAGAGAAATGAATGAAGACACCCAAGGACTCCACCAAATGCACCACATTGATTGCTACGCCTTCAATTAGATCCTCCTTTTTTATCTTTGAAATTTGTGGCATTTCTTTCTTCTCAAACACTCCAAAGGATGGCAGCCCTAGTACACCTACACAAGAACTTAACATTTTTCTTAAGTAGAGAGAAGAAAGAGATTCTAAAGAGACTATCAATGTTCTCTAGAGTCAACTGTCTGCACCCAAAGAGAATGAAACTCTGGAATACTAGGAATATATGGGCTGCAATCCATCCCAAGGATATGTCCCTTTGTATTATTAGCTCACATGAACTCTATTTATTGTTTCTTGCATTCCATAAAACAGTTTTTTATGCTAATTAATTTTGCTTTCACTCCATATTTAATGTTATATTCTTTCATGTTGAATCACATTCTAATGTTTGTTAGCTGCTTGCTAATTTAACTAGGGAAAGAAGCTGAAATTTTCCAGGTTTTGCTATTAAAAAATCACCATCTAGACAGGTGCCTAGTGGCCTAGACAATTTCCTGTTGTCTGGCCTGGCCCTTAGCAACTTGATAAATAGGATATGCTATAAAAATTTGAGATATTCATGGTCGACATAAACTCAGAGACTTTGTTTTTGATAATTAACAAAGACACAGAGACATAAATATTACTAATTTTAATGCTCAAATGACTAAGAATAGGTATATGTATGCACGATGAAGTAAAGTATTTATAATAAGTACTAAAACACATTTGTGTAATAAATAAGTGAGAATAGAGGAATTTCAACAAATAGCATTGAATTTAAAAGCTAGTATTATCTGACATGTAACTCATTGTGGAGATAATACCATAACATGTCAATTGGTTAACATCAAGTTATATTGTAGACCAGCAATGATGAAACCCCTTTTTCAACAAATGAACTAACAAAAGTAATCAATGTAATCTACATAGCCAAATGACAGTGTCGTGAACTTACTGTGCAAGGATCGGCAACTCCTTCCTTTTGACTCATTGTGGAACTCGAACTAAGTTTTAGAGACTTAAGAACTTTTGAAAGAGACTTGAGAAAGCTGGTCAACTCCCAGCCATTAGATAAAGATAAAAGGTAATCACTTATTGAACCCACAAAAGATGCATTACTGCTTTCAATCTTCATTGTTTGTGGACAATCCATGATAACAAAACCAGAGGACAGCCATCTCCCAGATGGTAGCTCTGTTTGGCTTTCCATAGTTTGGGGTGCATGATTTCCCAGTTTGCAAGCTTCATAAACTGGCAAAAGGTAGTTTGCAGTAAGACTGAAGACACAGGAGGAATTTAAATGCAAACAAATTTGACTCATAGAAGGTTTAGAAGCATGAAATGTTGTGCATCACCATAGTTGCATTATAAAGAAGCACTAAAAACATTATATATTTATATGTGATGGAATGCATATAACACCTTGACAGAAATAATACCAATGGAACAACCATCTTTCAGGAAAAATTTCACATAAAAAAGCATCTCCAACCCCCAGAAATAAAACTGACAAGACAAATATATCAGCAAGGAAAACCTAGAAGGCCCTTGGTGGAGATTGACATAGATAAAAGTTGACCTATTCAAAGGCCAGTCTTGGGTTGACCTTGCCAAATTTTGAATGGGCCCAGCCCAAAGCAGTGTAAAATGTTCATGGGCCAAGTCCAATGCCCAGCATGTGAACAGGTCTAGATAAAAGAAGCATTAGTAACTATTTGATGTGCACATGAGCCAAGCCCAACTGTTTGGCTGCACCTACAATTTTATTGCATAGGCTTGGACCTGATTTTGAGATCCAGAAGACAAACTCAGTGAAATTGGGCCTAGTTTTAGACTAAAACAGGTTCGCTTAGGCCTCTAGTCCTAGTCCAGTTTGAACACAGTTTTCCAGCCATGAAATAGGTCGAGCCATAAAGCCCAAAATCTGCAGAGAGAGAATAGGATTTGCTTTAAGTTATTTTCCCCCACTTTTCTTCTCTCTTTCCCTTATTTCTTCTTGCATGTTCCTGTACCACACATGCATATATGCATAGAAACATGTATGATATCCTTAAACAAAGCCCATGAATATCTCAAATTTTCCCCTCAAAATTCTTGTTGTTTCTTCAAAATGGCAAACGTTTTATGTTCCTGTATATATTTCTCCACAAAATGAAATGAGGGTAACAGGTGGGCTCTGGATTACACTTTTTTCTACATGGAATATTTCAGCACTCTTTGAAAACTAAGACAAGTAAAAACTAAAAAGGGAAGGAAGAGAGAGAGAGAGAGAAAGAGAGAGAGAGAATTGTTACAACTTTTTGCCAACTTCAAACCATTGTACTTTTCTTACGATATATTACAATGTTTAACCATTACAAAATTACCATAACGGAAACATTGTATAAGTTATTTCTGATATTCAAAATAATGAACTAAATGGATTTTCTGAACCAAGAGAACAACTTTGGGTCATTAGCTATTCAATGAAATAAATCAACATGTGGACACTCAAGACTGCCTAGGAGATGAATGTCCTATTCCAACTTGCAATCCTAGATATTAACATTAGGTGTGTATAACTAAGGGTTTCACAAAGAGCAGTTAGATGAACAAGAGCAATAAATCTGGTGCCAACGCTTGGACCAGGTCAATGGTTTCTACACTGAGTAATGGTTCCAAAGGGCATCATTGTGCTAGTAACAGGGAATAGAACAAATTTTCAAGAAGCAATTGTTAAAACAGTAAAATAATGATTTCATGAGATATGCCATTTTTCCATTTTTCAATTATGCTATGTTTGCAGAAAAAATGCATTTGCACTGGAAGTGCAAATTATGGTTCACTTTTGCTTCAGGTTTTATTTCACTTCATCTGCACCGCAAACAAACAAAACAAAAGTAAACCAAAATTTGCACTCAACTCGTTTGCACTTCCACAATTTTGCACTAGTGCCAACAAATTACACTGCAAGAAAACAAGGCCTTATGAGTTCCAGACAAGGGGGAGAGAGAAACAACACAGGAGAAGAGAAGACAACACAAGGACTAGCCTGATTGAGTGAATCTTGACTCAAAAATGCTAAAGCTGTAACATGTGAACAGTGCACATGAATTAAATCATGTGACAAGGGCCTATGGAAACATGGACATAAGAAGACCAAGTTCCCAACAGCATGAGGGGAAAAAATCAGCATGCACAACTGCATAAATGTCCATAGATAAATACTAAAATAACATTATAAGTCCAGTGCTTGAAGTAACAACACTACGTGAATATATTCATTGAGAAACATGCAGTTTAAGAGTAGTTTATGTGGAAGCTTCTTGCTTCTGTTACCCTCGTGCCATTTTGAAGAGAAATAATAACTCTCCTGACCTCAAAAAAAGCCCAAAAGGATGAGAATAATGGTATCCTCAAATATACTAAAAATATAACTTTCTTTTTCTTACATAAAAAGCAAAAGTACATACAAGTATGGAAAATATTATGCCCATATATGCATTGTGCAATTAATTCAATAGGCTGTGTTAGAACCAAGAGCAGAACCCCAATAAGCCATCACACTTACCTGTCCCTAATTGTTGAAAAAAATCAGCAGCAGCAGATGTAAGTGGATCAATGTCGGGGCATATGACATAATAAGACATCTGAAACAGGTAGCAAACCAAGAAAAAACGTTAAAACAAAGACAAAGGAACCTGAAACCACACTCATACACAATATATGACAGGATCATTAGCACAAATGAGAAAGTAAAAGGCATTTCATAAAGTTCTAGGAAATAACATCAAATTACATAGCAAGTAAATGAAATAATGTTACTATTATTCAATCTTAATAAATTAATATTTGTTGCCAATAAAAAAAATATATGTTACTATTATTCAAAATCTTTCAGGAGAGACTTACAGGTTTTGGTAAAGCATATGGTTCAAGAGGAGCTTTTTCCCAAAGTTGAAGAGAGTTTGCTGATGTCTTCAGCCAATCATCCTGATACCTATTACATAAATCATTATTTTTAGCTTACACTTTTAACTGATAACAGTAATTTTATTAATGGTAATCAAAAGTAAACAGTACAAAAACAATCCTTACGGCAAGGAATGTAGACCAAGCATCCTCTACAGAGGCAAAGAAGTGCATACAATGGGAAACTACAAATGAGATGTTGAAATATGTGTTATCTTTGGGTTAACTGGGTGTGTTTTGCTCAATAGATAGAAAGCCCAAAATAGTAAATAGTGAAAGAGGACTGCACAACTAGTGTATTCTTCTTCTCCCAAATCATGGTGTCATTTCCCTTGTTTTTCTTCTATTCTAACATGAAAAAATCAATCTTTTCGTTTTTTTTAAGACAGGGTGGTATCAAAACAAGGTTTCTTCTGTGTTTTTCTTTCTTTGCCTTCACTAGAGCCTTCTGTGTTTTTACCTTCACTAAAGCCTTGAAGATCGCAAAGTGTACTTGCAAATTCAAGGCTGATTCTAAGGGTAGGTGCACAACAAGGGCAGATGCAACCATCATTTGATGGTTCTCAACATGGCATATTCCATATGAAAACTTTACCCAATCAAATGGCCATGATCATAAATTTCACAAAACCCTTCTTTACAACTATAACTTAACTTATTAAATGAACTTTACTTTAACTATCCAAAAGAACAATATAGCTTCTATATTATAAAGGTTTGGATTTTCAACCAATATGCCCCATGAGAAGTCACTGTATGGTAAATGAAATGCAGACAATGCACCATGTATATGCTATTTGTAGCCCTTTTATATTATTTAGTGAACCTACAATATTAGGATGCATACTTACCCAACAAGTATAGCAGGCAATGGAAGCACAGTAGGTGTTGGCCTGAGACGTTGATCAGACTCTGAACCACAGATTTCTTGGTTTGATCTCCTCTGGAAATTCTCATCCACCCTAACTCCATCAGTGGCACTAGACACTGAACCATTGGCCAAAAATTTAGTCAGTGCACAGATGTACCATTATTACAATTATTACATAAGACAAGCTAAAGGTATACCTTTTAATCCAGCTGAACTAACAGTTGATGACTGAGGGGGGCTTACTGGTTCTCCAGCAGCTACAGCTACAGTACTTGAAGAATCTTTCAAATCACTTGAAGTTGATTCAACAAGATATCCATTGGCTACACTTCCTGTATCACTTGATTGACTGCGGCCCTTGCACCAATCAAGTATGGACAATGGACCATCCAAATTCCCAAAAGCAGATTTTAGAGCTGTTTTTATATCTGACTGCAGTAAACTGAGCATGGATGCCACATTGACCTGTTGCAAGAAATTACAAGTGCTAATGTTTCCATATCTTAAAAATCCACTCTTATAAAAGATTTTATGATAGATCATAGATGTTCTATTTAAACCATTATGCCCATTATAAATGAAAAGTAACTAATAGAAGATTAGATGGAGAATAAAACAAGAAAATATTGTTTCAGCAGCAATTAATAGCAGAATACCAAAGATTATAAACAGCAATAATCTTAAATGTAAACGATCTAGATGGTTAAATTCTGCAGACAGAGGCAATATAGTGGAAAACAGATGCTTTAGATGGAATATAATGCCAAACATTTTTCTAACTGAACACATTCTGCAATCTCCCTTTCATGATACTAACTAGAATTGAACTCTATAATCTTTAGCTTCCATAATCTCCATTAATTAATGTCAGACAACTGGATTAAAATCCAAGAAATTAGCCTTGCCAAGATTAATAGAAAGTATCATAAAATAATAGGTTCTCCTTGTTTTAATAATATCATAGATGTTACAAAGAAGTTCAAGGCAGTAGGAAACCCTTAGATCAAGTTTACCTGGGGGGACTGAGGAGCAAACCTTGAACCAGTTTCTTCTTGTCCTATTCTTCATCAACTTCTTGATGTCACATTCCCAGTACAGCAAACATAAGCCCCTCATTCTCCATCTGCAATCCTTTCACTATGATCAAACTTCTCGCTCCAACCTATATGACTATCCCATTGACAAACTCTATTTCTCGAGTAATTGGATCCATACTAAGATTGTCTTGCAGTTATCTATAGACAAATCTACATCATCCCCTAAAATCTTATCCATTGGGCAAACAACCTTATTTCTTTCCCCTCTTAAACCCTTCAAATTTGTTGCACACCTTAACCTTCAGTAGCAGGGGCCCTTCAGGCAAATCTTGATGGTGTGACTCCATCTAGATCATAGTTGTCAAGGCGACGCCTAGGCGACAAGGTGCCCTTTGAGGCTCACCTCGCCTAATTGCCTAACAGTTTTCTACTTCCTACTATAAAATACTTTTTAACTCATTCTTTTTTGAGATTATAATTATAAAATAGACAATATTAAACTAAAATAATCGTTTTGTGTGTTTATATACTAATTTTTTTTATTATTTTCTTATTTATTAGGGTTTAATCAACACAAACATTGCTAAATGCTGTATTGAACCCTCAAAGACTTAAAAACCTGAACCAATAAGTAAGGAAGAACTAAAAATTTTATCTAATCAGCACA